ATTGAAGCTGCAATTTTTCTGGTATTGAATTACACTGGGCTGAATAGATCAATAGGTACCACTCAGGCGGGAAGGCAAGGACGCTCGATGCAATCATGCCGGCCACATGACCTTGGAGGCAGACAATGCCGGCTCTTCAGCCTAGAAATGGAGATGAGCACCAACCCCCAGAGTCAGACACGACTGGACTTTCTGACTCTTCGTAACCTCATGGACAAGCCCACGCCAGAGCTCCCTGTTGGCCGTCACCAACCCCAGCTCCTTCAAGGTCAAGCCAGTCACTTCAAGGATGCCATCCATCCATCTTGCCCTTGGTTGTCCCCTCTCCCTTTTTCCTTCCATTTTCCCCAGCATCATACTCTTCTCTAAGCTTTCCTTTCTTCTCATGATGTGGTCAAAGTACTCCATCTTTGCCTCTACTATCCTTCCTTCCAATGAGCAGTCAGGCTTTATTTCCTGAAGTATGGACTGGTTGAATCTTTTAGCAGTCCAAGACACTCTCAGAACTTTCCTCCAACACCACAGTTCAAAAGCATCTATCTTCCTTCGCTCAGTCTTCCCTATGGTCCAGCTCTCACATCCGTAGGTGACTATGGGGAATACCATTGCTTTAACTATGCGGATCTTCGTTGCCAGTGTGATGTCTCCACTCTTCGCTATTTTATCAAGATTGGTCATTGCTCTTCTCCCAAGAAGTAAGCGTCTCATGATTTCCTGGCTGCACTCTGAGTCTGCAGTAATCTTTGCACCTAGAAATACAAAGTCTGTCATGGCCTCCGCATTTTCTCGCTCTATTTTCCAGTTGTCAATCATTCTTGTTGCCGCAATATTTTTTTATGTTTAGCTGCAACCCAGCTTTTGCACTTTCTTCTTTCACCTTGATTAGAAGGCTCCTCAGCTCCTCCTCACTTTCAGCCATCAAAGTGGTGTCATCTGCATATCTAAGGTTGTTAATGTTGCTTCCAGCAATTTTAACCCCAGCCTTGCATTCCTCAAGCCCCGAACATAGCATGATGTGTTCTGCATACAAGTTGAATAGGTTGGGGGAGAGGATACAATCCTGCTGTACGCCTTTCCCAATCTTGAACCATATATATCTATATAAATAAAAATGTAATGTACATTTGTGGGATTAACAGAACTCAAAAACCACTGGACGAATTGACACCAAATTTGGCCACAAGACACCTACTAATGCAAGGAGTGACCATCACTCAAAAAATTGATTTCGTCATTTGGGAGTTGTAGTTGCTGGAATTTATAGTTCACCTACAATCAAAGAGAATTCTGAACTCCACCAATGATGGAATTGAACCAAACTTGGCACACAGGACTCCCGTGACCAACAGAAAATTCTGGAAGGAATTGGTGGGCACTGACCTTGAGTTTGGGAGTTGTAGTTCACCTACATCCAGAGAGCACTGTGGATCTGGACCAAACTTGGCAGAAATATTCCATATGCCCAAATATGAACACAGATGGGGGTTGGGGGAAATAGACCTTGACGTTTGGAAATTGTAGTTGCTGGGATTTATAGTTCACCTACAATCAAAGAGCATTCTGAACCCCACCAACGACAGAATTGGGGCAAACTTCCCACACACAACCCCCATGACAAACAGAAAATACTTAAGGCCATCCAGTCCAACTCCCTTCGCCAGGACAAGAAAACGTAATCAAAGTCCTCCTGACAAAGAGCCATCCAGCCATAGATATAGATAGATATGATTCACACACGCAGATATAGTATCATAGATTTGAAATGGACTCCTAAAGAAGGAGAATTACATGTTGCATGTTCCAGAGCAGGGGTCCTCAAACTAAGGCCCGGGGGCCGGATGCGGCCCTCCAAGGGCATTTACCCGGCCCTCGCTCAGGTCAATCTATGTCTGAAATGACTTGAAAGCTCACAACAACAACAACAACAACAACAATCCTATCTCATCAGCCAAAACCAGGCCCACATTTCCATTTATATTTATTAAAACCGTTCTTCATTTTAATTATTGTATTCTTTTAAAGTGTTTTTTGCACTACAAATAAGATATGTGCACAGGGATTCATTCATGTTTTTTCAAATTAAAATCCAGCCCTTCAACAGTTTGAGGGACTGTGACCTGGCCCTCTGTTTAAAATGTTTGTGGAGCCCTGTTCCAGAGTAAGCAAACCAGACAATCTCCACATCAACACTGACAAAGAAACAAGAAATACTGTATTGTCGAAGGCTTTCATGGCCAGAATCACTGGGTTGTTGTAGGTTTTTTCGGGCCAGGGTCTAGAGGCATTCTCTCCTGACGTTTCGCCTGCATCTATGGCAAGCATCCTCAGAGGTAGTGAGGTCTGTTGGAACTAGGAAAAAGGGTTTATATATCTGTGGAATGACCAGGGTGAGACAAAGGACTCTTGTCTGCTGGAGCTAGGTGTGAATGTTCAACTGACCACCTTGATTAGCATATAATGGCCTGACAGTGCCTAGAGCAAACTTTTGTTGAGAGGTGATTAGATGTCCTTGTTTGTTTCCTCTCTGTTGTTGTGCTGTTATAATTTTAGAGTTTTTTAATACTGGTAGCCAGATTTTGTTCATTTTCATGGTTTCCTCCTTTCTGTTGAAATTGTCCACATGCTTGTGGATTTCAATGGCTTCTCTGTGTAGTCTGACATGGTAGTTGTTAGAGTGGTCCAGCATTTCTGTGTTCTCAAATAATATGCTGTGTCCAGGTTGGTTCATAAGGTGCTCTGCTATGGCTGACTTCTCTGGTTGAAGTAGTCTGCAGTGCCTTTCATGTTCCTTGATTTGTGTTTGGGCAATGCTGCGTTTGGTGGTCCCTATGTAGACTTGTCCACAGCTGCATGGTATCAGTAGACTCCTGCAGAAGTGAGAGGATCCCTCTTGTCCTTTGCTGAACGTAGCATTTGTTGGATTTTCTTGGTGGGTCTGTAGATAGTTTATATGTTGTGTTTCCTCATCAGCTTCCCTATGCAGTCAGTGGTTCCCTTACTCAATGTACCCAAAAGCAAACACTGGTGGAGTTTGGGAGAAATAGACTACAACAAATGTAACTACAACTCACATTTGTGAGTTGTAATTACTGGGATTTATAGTTCCCCTACAATCAAAGAGCATTCCGAGCCCCACCAAAGTTAGGATTGGGCCAAACTTGGCACACAGAACCACCATGATCTGTTGAAAACACTAACTTTCTGATGGTCTTTGGTGATCCTTCTGACACCCCCTCACAACCCCCTCCCCCAAGGGTCCTGACCCTCAGGTTGACAAAGAAACAACAAGAAATACTGTTTACCCACAAGCAGAAAGAAATTACATATATTTGAAACCAACACGTTTTCATTACTTTATTTTCCAGATCACCAGAATGGGCCACAGCAACGCGTGGCAGGGGATGGCTAGTAGAGCTATAATCATTTGTTCTAATCTAAAGCATACTTTTTTTGGTTCTAACTAATGAGATATATATATATCATTAGCAAGAACAAACTTTTGTTGAGAGGTGATTAGAGAGTTTCATCTATGCTGATGATCATGCCATTACTGCTCAAGCAGGGAGCTTTGAGACAGTAGAACAGAAGCTCTCCGAAGCTCTAGGTGCTCTTACTGCCTATTACAGGGAAAACCAGCTGATCCCCAACCCATCTAAAACACAGACATGTGCCTTTCATCTCAAGAACAGAGAAGCATCCCGAGCTCTGAGGATGACCTGGGAAGGAATCCCACTGGAGCATTGCAGCGCACCCAAATACCTGGGAGTCACTCTGGACCGTGCTCTGACCTACAAGAAGCACTGCCTGAACATCAAACAAAAAGTGGGCGCTAGAAACAACATCATACGAAAGCTGACTGGCACAACCTGGGGATCACAACCAGACACAGTGAAGATCACAACCAGACACAGCCCTTGCGCTATGCTACTCTGCTGCTGAGTACGCATGCCCAGTGTGGAATACATCTCACCACACTAAAACAGTGGATGTGGCTCTTAATGAGACATGCCGCATTATCACGGGGTGTCTGCGCCCTACACCACTGGAGAAATTACACTGCTTAGCTGGTATTGCACCACCTGACATCTGCCGGGAAGTAGCAGCAATAGTGAAAGGACCAAGGCAGAGACATCTCCAGCTCATCCCCTGTTTGGGTATCAGCCAGCATGTCAACAACTTAAATCAAGATATAGTTTTCTAAGATCTACAGAGACACTTGCTGGAACACCTCAGCAAGCGAGAGTCCAAAAGTGGCAGGCTCAAACCCAGAACCTCAACCGATGGCTGATACCAAATGAGAGACTCCCCCCTGGGCACACAGGACTGGGCGACCTGGAAAGCACTGAACAGACTGCGCTCTGGCACCACGAGATGCAGAGCCAACCTTCAGAAATGGGGCTACAAAGTGGAATCCACGACATGCGAGTGTGGAGAAGAGCAAACCACAGACCACCTGTTGCAATGCAACCTGAGCCCTGCCACATGCACAATGGAGGACCTTCTTGCAGCAACACCAGAGGCACTCCAAGTGGCCAGATACTGGTCAAAGGACATTTAATCAACTACCAAACTCACACATTTTGTATTTTGTCTGTTTGTTTGCTTTGTTTTGTTACAAATGTAATATAATGGACTGGTTGCTCTGACACGACAAATAAAAAAAGCTAGAACAAAAAAAAAAGTATGCTTTAGAACAAATGTCTAAGTATCAAAGAGTTGGTAGAGAGCTCGGTGGCCATCCAATCCAACCCCATTCTGCCAAGAAGCAAGACAATCGCACCAAAGCACCCCTGGCAGATGGCCATCCAGCCTCTGCTTAAAAGCCTCCATTGCAGTTCCAGGGAAGGTTAAAGACCTAATCAAACCTGTATTTCCGACCATTTCACTTCTGGTCAGTCCATAATGATTTCCTCTTCCTATAACAATAGCAACCCCAATAGCCAACTTTCTCTATCTGGCTTTCATTTATGAATATATTGAATTGAATATATATAACTTACCAATCCTAATATATATATTTTTTCTACGCTCCTCAAAACAACAAAAGATTTTTGAGTTTTCCTTTCTCGAGTCTAAGTTTGACACTACTGTGAGGGAGGGAGGGGGGAGGGAGGGAGGAGGGGGAAAAACACAGGAAGAGCATCAACCGGAAGCAAAGCTCACGCGACCGGAAGTTGTTATGTCCCGAAGACTAGAGAAAGGCTTCCCGCTGTCATTTTCAGAGCCGGTAGTGCGCATGCGCCGATCGAGCCCTTCTCTTTTTCTCTCTCTCTCTCTCTCTCTCTCCTCCTCCTCCTCCCACACATGCGCGCGCGCAAGCGCTTTTAGTGGTGATTGGCTGGGGAGGTTGCGAGGGCGCCTGCTGATTGGCTGGGGTGGTTGGGAGCGAGCGCGCCCGCTGATTGGGTGATTCGAAGACGAGAGGCGGCAACGGCGGAACAAACTGAAGATGGCGGAGAAGCGGCCGAGGGAGAGTTCGTGGCACAACCCGCCCTCCAAGTAAGTAGGCCTTGAGGTCGCTTCGCCTCATTCGTGCATTTCCAGGATGCCAGACTGAATAAACAGTTGCCTCAGACAGCAGCGTAGAATGCCGATACAGTTAAAACCCGTAGGCTGTTGGGAGCTCTAAATAGATGTTTAATGACAGGCCGAGCTTCTCGTATGCCTTTGCAAAAGTGTTTAGAGTGGCTTGTTGGTCTTCTTCTGTATGCGCACAGACGACATTGTCATCAGCATACTGGAGTTCTATAACAGATATTGTTGTAACCGTGGTTTTGGCTTTCAGTCTGCTGAGGTTAAATTATTATTATTATTATTATTATTATTAACTTTATTTGTACCCCGCTAGCATCTCCCGAAGGACTCGATGCGGCTTACAAAGGCCAAGGCCTCAAAACACAACATAACAATACAACACCTAAAGCAAAACACCTAAAGCAAAAACAATTAAAGCAATATTAAAGAACAAGCAATAAACAATACATCAAGTCACTATAAAACTGGGCCGGGCCAGAGTAATTGGTAGAGGATCAAAAGTGCTGATGTGGCAGGAGGTATGTAGGATTATAAAATAAGTGCAATGTGCGGTGTGCAGCAATCTTAGTTCTACTAAAGTGCTTCTAGGACTTTGTATTGGAGATTCCTATTCTGGAAAGGCACATCGGAACTGCCAGGTCTTCAAGTTCTTTCTAAAGACTGCCAACGTAGGGGCCTGTATAATGTCTTTGGGGAGGGTGTTCCAGAGTCGGGGGCCACCACAGAAAAGGCCCTCTCTTGCGTCCCCACCAAACGCACCTGTGACGCTGGCGGGATCATGAGCAGGGCCTCTCCAGATGAACGAAGTGAACGCGTGTGTTCATAAATGGAGATACGGTCACGCAGGTAGGATGCTCCCAAACCGCTTAGGGCTTTGTAGGTAAGCACCTGCACCTTAAATTGGAAAATAAACAGCAGCCAGTGGATCTCCTTGAACAGGAGGGTTGACCTCTCTCTGTAAGGAGCCCCAGTTAACATCCTGGCTGCTGCCCGTTGGACCAGTTGGAATTTCCGAGCCGTTTTCAAGGGCAGCCCCACGTAGAGCGCATTACAGTAATCCAATCTAGAGGTGACCAAGGCATGGACCACCCCGGCCAGATCAGCCTTCGCGAGCTATGGTCGCAGCCTCAATTATGCACGAGTCTCAATTGTGCAAAAGCCCTCCCAGACACCGCCGACGCCTGAGCCTCAAGGGTAAGCAATGAATCCAAGAGGACTCCCAAACTGTGGACCTGTGGCTTCAGGGGGAGTGTAACCCCGTCCAACACAGGTTGTCACCCTATACCCCGATCCAGTTTACGATCGACCAGGAGGACCTCTGTCCAACTTGCCATCTGTCCGATAGATGATGACAATGTCTGGGTTGTAGGTTTTTTCGGGCTATATGGCCATGGTCTAGAGGCATTCTCTCCTGACGTTTTGCCTGCATCTATGGCAAGCATCCTCAGAGGTAGTGAGGTGACAATGTCGTCTGTGCGCATTCAGAAGAAGACCTACAAGCCACTCTAAACACCTTCGCAGAAGCATACGAGAAGCTCAGCCTGTCATTGAACATTGAGAAAACCAAAGTTCATTTCCAGAAGTCACCAGCCAATCCCTCTCCAATGCCAAAAATACAGTTTAATGGCATAACATTAGAAAATGTTGACCATTTCCGCTCCCTTGGCAGCCACCTCTCCAGCAAAGTCAACATTGACACTGAAATACAACACCGCCTGAGCTCTGCGAGTGCAGCATTTTTCCGAATGAAGCAGAGAGTGTTTGAGGGATACCAAGGTGCTTGTCTATAAAGCTATTGTCCTCCCAACCCTGCTATACGCCTGCGAAACGTGGACTGTCTACAGACGTCACATGCAACTCCTGGAAGATTCCATCAGTGCTGCCTCCGGAAAATCCTGTAAATCTCTTGGGAAGTCAGGCAGACAAATGTCAGCGTGCTGGAAGAAGCAAAGACCACCAGCATTGAAGCGATGGTCCTCCAACATCAACTCCGCTGGACCGGCCATGTTGTCTGGATGCCCGACCACCGTCTCCCAAAGCAGTTGCTCTACTCCGAATTCAAGAATGGAAAATGGAATGTTGGTGGACAGGAAAAGAGATGGAAAAGAGATTTAGATGGGCTCAAAGCCAACCTCAAAATCTCTGGCATAGACACTGAGAACTGGGAAGCCCTGGCCCTTGAGCGCTCCAGTTGGAGGTCAGCTGTGACCAGCAGTGCTGCAGCATTTGAAGATGCACGAATGGAGGGTGAAAGAGAGAACTGTGCCAAGAGGATGGTGTGTCAAGCCAACCCCGACCGAGACCGCCTTCCACCTGGAAACCAATGCCCTCACTGCGGGAGAAGATGCAGGTCAAGAATGGGGCTCCACAGCCACCTATGGATCTACAAGAATACTGATGATGGAAGACTATCCTACTCGTCCAACGAGGGATTGCCTAAGTAAGTAAAGTGTTGTGAGTTTTCCAGGCTGTTTGACCATATTCCAGAAGCATTCCCTCCTGACATATCGCCTGCATCTATGGCAGGCATCCTCAGAGGTTGTGAGGTTAATTAAAATCAGCTTGAAAGTCATGACAGGCCGCTGAAGAATAACAGAAAGAGACAGATGGTGTATTTAGCACGTTCGGGTTGTGCTGAATTTTTGTCAAGAGTCGAACTGGAATGTTTATTTTTGTAGATGTAGATGGAAAATATGGTTTCGACTCTGAGAAAGTGAATCTACACCAGGCATGGGTAAACATGTGCCCTCCAGGTGTTTTGGACTTCAACTCGCACCATCTTTGGTTAGAAAATGGATTTTTTTGTATTTGGGTACTTAATGATTCATCGCATTCTGTAGAATAGAACCTCATGTCAATAAACAATTGGGAGTTATTCAGCTTTAGTGTAAAAATAAGTCTGTCTGATTTTTTTTCACAACTTTCAGATCCCATCAACACTGCCATACAAAATCTGATTTATCTGATTTGAACCAGATTATATGACAGTATAGACTCATATAATCCATTTCAAAGTATATAATCTGGATTATATGTTTTGATAATCTGGAGCGACGTACAGGGAACATACAACTCCTTTGTTACGCCAACTCCACTGGCTACTGATCAGCTTCCGAGCACAATTCAAAGTGCTGGTTTTAACCTTTAAAGCCTTAAACGGTTCTGACCCAGACTACCTGTCCAAACGAATCTCCTGTTATGAACCATCACAAAGTTTAAGATCTTCAGGAGAGGCCCTGCTCTCGATCCCACCACTATCGCAAACACAGTTGATGAGGACGAGAGACGGGGCCTTCTCAGCAGTGGTCCCCCGCCTATGGAATGCCCTCCCTAGAGATGTCAGATTGGCCACCTCCCTCTTGTCTTTTAGAAGGAAAATCAAGACCTGGTTATGGGACCAAGCGTTTGATCAGTAAGCAGCAAGTGGAAGAAGATCACACAACTTATGGCAATGAATTGACCCGGACTGGTTTTTGGATTTCGATTTTAATGGATGTGTCTTAATTAATTTTTTAAGTTGTTGATTTAATTTTTTAACGTTTTGATTGTACTGTGGTTGTTTTTATGTTAGGCCGCCCTGAGTCCCTTTTCGGGGGGTATAAATATAAGAAATAAATAAATAATAAATAAATTATATGGCATTGTAGATCCAGCTTCATATTTCCTTGATCATGGGCTGCTGTAGCCTTAAATTTAAAAAAGGCTTCGGCTGTTTTATAAATAAGTGGTTATACTTGCCACTTGAGCCCCCGGTGGCGCAGTGGGTTAAAGCGCTGAGCTGCTGAAAGTTTGCAGATTCGAATCTGGAGAACGGCGTGAGCTCCCACTGCTAGCCCCAGCTTCTGTTAACTTAGCAGATCAAAAACATCCAAATGGGAGTAGGTAGTGCTCCGGTGGGACGTTAACAGCGCTCCATGAAGTCACGCCAGCCACATGACCTTGGAGGAGTCTAGAGACAACGCCGGCTCTTTGGCTTAAATGGAGATCAGCACTAGTAACCACCAGTCGGACACGACTGGACTTAATGTCAGGGGAAAACCTTTTCCTTTACCTTATTTGCCACTTATTTTGAAATGTGTGCCGAATGAACACTTAACATTGAAGGAATCGTATTCCCTGCTCTGGCTATAAGGTCAAAAGTATCCCAGAATGCAAGCCCTGTGTTTTTTTTGTTTTTTTTTAAGGGTCTTCATTATGGATGTGACAGTCGCGGAATACATTCGGAGAACGGTGCTGCGAATCCCGCGTTCGGAAGCCAGAACAATGTTGACCAAGTGGAAGTTTCTTTCTGACTCCCAGCTTCAGTCTTTAAACACGAATCAGAAGAAGGAAAACATATCAAAAGAAGTTGTTGAACTCTGTCAGGTGAGAACAAGGTCTAGAACAGGCACGAGCAAACTTTGGCCCTCCAGGTGTTTTGGACTTCAGCATCCACAATTGTGGGACTTGAAGTCCAAAACACCCAGAGGGCAAAAGTTTGACAAGGCCTGGTCTAAAAAGATTTGTTTTTGTGAAACTTCTCCAAACATTTTGTTAATAATCCTATTTCAAAACAGTGCGTAAAAGGCATTGATGTTTGTTTCGTATTTAGATTGATAGAGATATAAAAATGGAGCCTCAGAAACAATCTTATTTGTGCCCTACATTTTAAATATGTATCATTTCAGTATGACCTAATAGCCATGTTCTTTGCTTTATATTAAACTGGAACCAATTTATCCTGGGCCCTTCCACACAGTCCTATATCCCAGAAATCAAGGCAGAAAATCCCACAATATCCGCTTTGAACTGGGTTATCTGTGTCTACATAGCCATGTATAACAGTTAAAAGCAGAAAATGTGGGATTTTATTCAGCTGTGTAGAAGGGATTCCTATTTACTTGAATCTAATTCTCACCTTTTTGGGTTGAATTACTTCAACAAAATTAGGGTGTGGATTAAATTTGCGTATATGGTGATCTATGGGCGATATCCACTTTGAACTGGGTTACTTGAGTCCACACTACGATAATGTAGGATTTTCTGCATTGATATGCTGGATACAGGGCGGTGTGGAAGGGTCCTAAGTACTGAGTCAAAGCAAAAAGGGAAACTGTTCCAGGGGCACCAGAAGCTCCTCTTTGAGGGACAACATCTCAAAGTTAATTGCCAAGTTCAATGCTGCGCAATCCTGGGATTTGTAGTTTGGTGAGACATCAGCATGCTTTGGCAGAGAAGTCTCTCTAGACCTTGAAAAACTACAGTTCCCATGATTCCATAGCATTGAACCAAAGCAGTTAAAGTGGATTCGTTCTACAGCATAGGTGAACCCAAAGTTTTCTTTTCTATTTATAGAAGTTTTGGTATCCTAAAACTTTTGTTTTTAAAAGAAGGGATATTAAGCAACCAGCAACAGTAATACACCTCTTTGGGCTAAAGTACAAAATGTGCGCTTTTTGCCACTGCGCATTACATTCAGCAGCAAATTTGGTTTCAGTGTTTTGAAAGTAGAAGTGGGAATTAAATTCAATGGCACACTAAACTCGAGTAAATATAGTTTATATTTATTTATCGTGTCATCAGCAACCATTGTATTACAATTCTAACAGAGCAAAACAAACACACAGATTAAAAAGAAAAAGAAAAATAAAACACACAGATTTTGCAAATTTGGTATTTGGTTAAATGTCCTTTGACCAGTATCTGGCCACTTGGAGTGCCTCTGGGGTTGCCGCAAGAAGGTCCTCCCTTGTGCATGTGGCAGGGCTCAGGGTGCATTGCAGCAGGTGGTCAGTGGTTTGCTCTTCTCCACACTCGCATGCCGAGGATTCCACCCTGTAGCCTCATTTCTTAAGATTGACTCTGCATCTCGTGGTGCCAGAGCGCAGTCTGTTCAGTGCCTTCCAAGTCGCCCAGTCTTCTGAGTGCCCAGGGGGGAGTCTCTCATCTGGTATCACCCATGAATTGAGGTGCTGGGTTTGGGCCTGCCACTTTTGGACTCTCGCTTGCTGGGGTGTTCCAGCGAGTGTCTGGAGTAGATCTAAGAAAACTATGTCTTGATTTAGATCGTTGACGTGCTGGCTGATACCCAAACGGGATGAGCTGGAGATGTCTCTGCCTTTGTCCTTTCACTATTGGCTGCTACTTCCCGGCGGATGTCAGGTGGTGCAATACCGGCTAAGCAGTGTAATTTCTCGAGTGGTGTGGGGTGCAGACACCCTGTGATAATGCGACATGTCTCATTAAGAGCCACATCTACTGTTTTGGTGTGGTGAGATGTGTTCCACACTGGGCATGCATACTCAGCAGCAGAGTAGCATAGCGCAAGGGCAGATGTCTTCACTGTGTCTGGTTGTGATCCCCAGGTTGTGCCAGTCAGCTTTCGTATGATGTTGTTTCTAGCGCCCACTTTTTGTTTGATGTTCAGGCAGTGCTTCTTGTAGGTCAGAGCACGGTCCAAAGTGACTCCCAGGTATTTGGGTGTGTTGCAATGCTCCAGTGGGATTCCTTCCCAGGTAATCCTCAGAGCTCGGGATGCTTGTCTTCTTAAGGTGAAAGGCGCATGTCTGTGTTTTAGATGGATTAGGGATCAGTTGGTTTTCTCTGTAATAGGCAGTAGAGCACCTAGAGCTTCGGAGAGCTTCTGTTCAACCATCTCAAAGCTCCCTGCTTGAGCGGTAATGGCACGATCATCAGCATAGATGAAACTCTCTGTCCCTTCTGGCAGTGGCTGGTCATTTGTGTAGATGTTGAACATGGATGGAGCAAGCACACTCCCCTGAGGCAGGCCGTTCTTCTGTTTCCGCCATCTGCTTCTCTGGCCCTGGAACTCAACAAAAAAGCTCCTGTTTTGTAGCAGGTTTCCTATGAGCGGGTGAGGTGGTAGTCCTTTGTGATATTATACATTTTTCTCAGGAGGAGGCGGTGGTTCACAGTATCATAGGCTGCTGACAAGTCTATGAAGACAGCTCCTGTGATCTGCTGCCTTTCAAAGCCATCTTCTATGTGCTGAGTCAGGTTCAGCACTTGCGATGTGCAGCTTTTGCCTTTCTGAAGCCAGCTTGCTGTGGAATCAGACAGGGGTCTATTTTTCCATAATTCTATGCAAAATAAGTCTCTCCAGAACTTTGTAGAGGTGGCACAACAGGGAGATTGGTCTGTAGCTTTTTGGGTCATTACGGTCTTTGCCTGGCTTCAAGATGGCGATGACTCTTGCTTTCCTCCAGATTTTTGGGATCTGACAGGATGCAGTGCAGTTGTTCATCAGCTCCAGCAGCCAGCGCCTTGCTTTTGGACCAAAGTTCTTGATTTGTAGTATGGCAGAACGCATAACTCCTAGTGTAAGGATCCTACATTTTTTTTATATAGTAACATTGATGAATGTGGAGTAACTGTAATTGGCCTATTCAACTTCTTTTGATAGACACAGAGTAATAATAATAATAATAATAATAATAATAATAATAATAATTTTATTTGTTACCCGCCTCTCCTAATGGCTTGTGGCTAGTTATGTTTTTAATGGAAAAGCTTGCGAAGGTGACTCTTCCCCAGGAATGGGCACAGCTTTTAATTATTTTTAATTGGATGGAAAGGAGAGGGAAAATATCCTTGAACTAGTGATGACATTGAACTACAAGCCTCCAGCAACCTCTCCTAGCATAAGGAACAAAACTGAACTCCTTGGGATGCCACAAACCAATGTGCAGGATGTCAAACAGGATCCTCCCAAATGCACCTGAGTACATCCTACTAGGGAGGACCAGTGTCACTATTAAACATCCCAGAAAGGCATCCCATAATGACACCCGTTGTGGTAATACCAAGCACAGTCAGTGGGGACACTAGAAAGAGCCTTCACAGTGACTGCGTTTCGGCCCTGGAATTTCCTTCCCAGGGAATCAAGAAAGACTCACTCCTTGCTGTTCTTCTAGTGCAGGGGTCCCCAAACTACAGCCCGTGGGCCGTATGCGGCCCGCCAAGGGCATTTCTCCGGCCCGCGAGGCCTGGCCTGACCTGGCCACGCCCACCCGGCGCCGCTCCGCCCATCGCGGGAACTCTCTGCTCTGGCCGCTCTGCTCGTGTGGGAGGGAGAAGCCTTTTGTAGTTTACCTGCCTCCTTGGAGACCAGAGCGGCTGGAGCAGAGGGTTCCTGCAAAGGCCGGAGTGGCGCCGGGTGGGCGTGGCCAGTGGCGCCGGGTGGGCGTGGCCAGGACGCCACTGGCCACGCCCACCCGGCGCCGCTGGCCACGCCCACCCGGCGCCGCTCCGGCCTTTGCAGGAACCCTCTGCTCCGGCCGCTCTGGTCTCCAAGGAGGCAGGTAAACTACAATTCCAAAACCAAAGGGCACTGCCCACCAAACCCTTCCAGTATTTTCTGTTGGCCATGGGAGAACTGTGTGCCAAGTTTGGTTCAATTCCACCGTTGATGGGGTTCAGAATGCTCTTTGATTGTAGGTGAACTATTTATTTATTTATTTATTTATTTATTTATTTGGTACACTTGTATACCGCTAATATCTCAGCCTAAAACGGCGACTCATTGCGGTTTACAGCAGTTAAAACAATCTCCAATTTAAAAACATATACACATACAATAACAAATTATTGGGCCACCAATAATAATCCCATATATCTCAAGTTTAAAATCACAATCCAGAGTTCGTTGTCCATATTTCCTGTCCATAGTCACCAAGATTCGATTTAATTGCCACAGATTAGCCGAATGCTTGTTTGAATAACCATGTTTTGAGTCTCTTCCTAAACACCATCAGCGACGAGGCTGATCGTACCTCTATAGGGAGGGCGTTCCAAAGCCGAGGGGCCACCACAGAGAAGGCCCTGTCTCTCGTTCCCGCCAGCCGCACTTCTGAAGCCGGAGGGACAGAGAGCAGGGACTCTCCAGAAGATCTTAGGGTCCTGGTTGGCTGATAGGCTGAGATACGTTCGGATAGATAAGTTGGGCCAGAACCGTTTAGGGCTTTAAAGGCCAACGCCAGCACTTTGAATTGAGCCCGGTAGCATATCGGCAGCCAGTGGAGCTGGTTCAGCAAGGGAGTTGTATGCTCCCTGCGCCCCGCTCCTGTTAGAATCATGGCTGCCGCCCGTTGGACTAACTGGAGCTTCCGGACTGTCTTCAAAGGCAACCCCACGTAGAGAGCGTTGCAGTGATCAAGGCGAAATCTCAAGAACTACAACCCCCAAATGTCAAGGTCTATTTTCCCCAAACTCCACCAGTGTTCACATTTGGGCATATTGAGTATTCGTGCCAAGTTTGGTCCAGATTTATCATTGAGTCCACAGTGTTCTCTGGATGTAGGTGAACTACAACTCCAAAACTCAAGGTCAGTGCCCACCAAACCCTTCCAGTATTTTCTGTTGGTCATGGGAGAACTGTGTGCCAGGTTTGGTTCAAGTCCATCGTTGGTGGGGTTCAGAATGCTCTTTGATTGTAGGTGAACTATGAATCCCAGCAACTACAACTCCCAAACTTCAAGATTCTATTTCCCCCCATACTCCACCAGTGTTCCCATTTGGGCATATGGAATATCAGTGCCAAGTTTGCTCCAGATCTATCATTGAGTCCACAGTGATTGATGGAGGCAGGTGAACTACAACTCCAAAACCAAAGGACACTGCCCACCAAACCCTTCCAGTATTTTCTGTTGGTCATGGGAGAACTGTGTGCCAAGTTTGGTTCAATTCCACCGTTGATGGGGTTCAGAATGCTCTTTGATTGTAGGTGAACTATAAATCCCAGCAACTACAACTCCCAAATGTTAAAATTCTATTTTCCCCCAAACTCCACCAGTGTTCACATTTGGGCATATTGAGTATTTGTGCCAAGTTTGATCCCGATCCATCATTGTTTGTGTCCACAATGATCTCTGAATGTAGGTGAACTACAACTCCAAAACCAAAGGACACTGCCCACCAAACCCTTCCACTATTTTCAGTTGGTCGTGGGAGAAATGTGTGCCAGGTTTGGTTCAATTCCATCATTGGTGGGGTTCAGAATACTCTTTGATTGTAGGTGAACTATGAATCCCAGCAACTACAACTCCCAAACGTCAAGATTCTATTTCCCCCATACTCCACAAGTGTTCCCATTTGGGCATATGGAATATCAGTGCCAAGTTTGGTCCAGATCTATCATTGAGTCCACAGTGATTGATGGAGGCAGGTGAACTACAACTCCAAAACCAAAGGACACTGCCCACCAAACCCTTCCAGTATTTTCTGTTGGTTATGGGAGAACTGTGTGCCAAGTTTGGTTCAATTCCATCGTTGGTGGGGTTCAGAATGCTCTTTGATTGTAGGTGAACTATGAATCCCAGCAACTACAACTCCCAAACGTCAAGATTCTATTTCCCCCCATACTCCACAAGTGTTCCCATTTGGGCATATGGAATATCAGTGCCAAGTTTGCTCCAGATCTATCATTGAGTCCACAGTGATTGATGGAGGCAGGTGAACTACAACTCCAAAACCAAAGGACACTGCCCACCAAACCCTTCCAGTATTTTCTGTTGGTCATGGGAGAACTGTGTGCCAAGTTTGGTTCAATTCCATCATTGGTGGGGTTCAGAATGCTCTTTGATTGTAGGTGAACTATAAATCCCAGCAACTACAACTCCCAAATGTCAAGATTCTATTTTTCCCCAAACTCCACCAGTGTTCACATTTGGGCATATTGAGTATTTGTGCCAAGTTTGATCCCGATCCATCATTGTTTGAGTCCACAATGATCTCTGAATGTAGGTGAACTACAACTCCAAAACCAAAGGACACTGCCCACCAAACCCTTCCACTATTTTCAGTTGGTCGTGGGAGAAATGTGTGCCAGGTTTGGTTCAATTCCATCATTGGTGGGGTTCAGAATACTCTTTGATTGTAGGTGAACTATGAATCCCAGCAACTACAACTCCCAAATGACAAAATCAATGTTTTTGAGTGAAGGACATACATTGGGTTGTTAGGTGTCTTGTGTCTAAAATTGGTGTCAATTCGTCCAGTGGTTTTTGAGTTCTGTTAATCCCACAAACGAACATTACATTTTTATTTATATAGAAGTGTGGGTCTTTGTTTTTTGATTTGGGGGGGGGGGGGTTGCACTGCAAATAATATATGTGCAGAAGTGCATAGGAATTCATTCATGTTTTTTTTTCAAATTATAATCCGGCCCCCCAACAGTTTGCGGGACTGCGACCCGGCCCTCTGTTCAAAAAGTTTGGGGACCCCTGTTCTAGTGCCTTGCCAGTTTTAATGCAATTTTAATATTTACTTTTTGTGTTTTGAATTATATAGTTTTTTAAGGGTTATGAGCCACTTTGCATCTCAATTTCCAAAGATAACAATGGAATATACCGTATATACTCGAGTATATACGGTATTCGACCTGAATATAAGCCGAGGCTCCTAATTTTACCACAAAAATCTGGGAAAACATATTGACTCGAGTATAAGCCAAGGGTGGGAAATGCAGCCCATGTGGGTAAATTTCAAAATAAAAATAGATATCAATAAAATGATATTGAAGCATTGGCAGGTTAAATGGCTTTGAATATTTTTTATTATTATTCATGATTTTCCATTGACAATAAAAACAGCTTTGGAGAGGGGGGGAGTGCTTTAGGGTATGGGAAAGAGGGAAATGGTTTTGAATAAAACAGTACTTTAAGTTAAGACTGCCCAACTCTAATTAAACTATTATTCTAATCTTCTTCAATGTAAATGTTCTTACGTATTTTTCCAATAATAATAGAGTAAAATAATAAGTATAATAGTAATAATAATAATAATAAATAATGGAAATTCAATAATAACACTAATAATAGAGTAAAATAATAAATGTAATAATAATAATAATAAATACATCACACAGTCCTAGATGCTTGGGAAGTGTTCGACTTGTGATTTTGTGATATGAAATCCAGCATATGGATCTCGTTTGCTGTGACATACTGTGCTTTTGTGTCAGTCAAATAATAATAAATAATGGAAATTCAATAATAAAAATAATAATAGAGTAAAATAATAAATGTAATAATAATAATTAATAGAGTAAAATAATAAATGTAATAATAATACGGTAAAAAACTGTAAATATAATAATACATTAAGTAAAATAATAAATGTAATAAAAATAATACTAATAACAGAGTAAAATATTAAATAACCTTGACTCAAGTATCAGCCGAGGGGAGCTTTTTCAGCCTAAAAAGGGGGATGAAAAACTAGGCTTATACTCGAGTATATACAGTACGTTTCTGGGAGATTCATTCATACAATATTCAGAACCCCACATTCCTTTTAGAATTCCTGTTTTATTAGTTTCCTCTCTAAGGGGAACAGTAATGATTTAACATAAATTAATACATTGTTTCACATTCTCTTGAAGGAAAACCGTGCAACTATCCAGCATGCAGCAAATCTTGACATGATATGTAAGTAAAGTATTGAAATGTAGACACATAGTTGCTGGTTCTTATAAAGAGAAACGTTTTACTTTTATTTACTTATTTTATTTATTTACTTAGTAAATCAGTTACATTTCAGTTAAGGTCTCAGAAATTTCTTGTGATACTATTTATATTTGTTTTCTTAATTATATAATTGTATCTGGAAAGAAACCAGACTCTGTTTTTAAAAAGTATAATATTGTGGATTTCTTTTATTTCTCCTGGTGTGTTTGTTTTGTTGCATAGCTGTACTGAACCCAGATGTCTGTGTTTTTTTTGAGGGGAAAATGATGGGATACACTTCAACAACCTTCATTGGTTATATGTATCACATGAGCAAGAGTGGAACACAATGGCTACATTAAGAACATAAATGTATCTTGAACTATATAAGAAAAACAAAACTCTTTCTAGCCCATTCTTTTTTTGTGCAGAAGAAAGTTTCTCTATTTAATTAAGCTTTCTCCTACATAAACGTGATGAGGTTTATTCTACTAATGTATGTTTTGCAAATATAAGTTTTAGTGTTTGTGTAACTTAGAAAAAGTTAATCATAGAATCCTAGAGCTGGAAGAGACCTCGTGGGCCATCCAGTCTATCCCCCTCCCAAGAAGCAGGAAAATCACATTCAAAGCACCCCGACAGATGGCCATCCAGCCTCTGTTTAAAAGCCTCCCAAGAAGAAGCCTCCACCACACTCTGGGGCAGAGAGTTCCACTGCTGAATGGCTCTCAACAGGCCCGTAGCCAGGATTTCGATTCGGGGGGGGGGGGGGGGGGGGGGGGGCTGAGTCTGAGTGAAAGAGGGTCTACCCTAGCAAACTTTTTGTATTGTTACCCCAATACCCCCATGCATATGGGATATATTGAGTATGGTGATCAGATCATGATATGAATAAACATAACAGTTTAAATAATGCACCAGTAAGGCCTTTTCACGAACCACCATGAGAATTTCGGGGGCCCCGGCCACATGCCTGGCTCTCAAAGTCAGGAAGTTCTTCCTAATGTTCACATGGAATCTCCTTTCCTGTAGTTTGAAGTCGTTCTGTGTCCTAGTCTCCAGGGCAGCTGAAAACAAGCTTGCTCCTTCCTCCCTATGACTTCCTCTCATGTATTCATACATGGCTGTCATGTCTCCTCCCAGCCTTCTTTTCTTCAGGCTAAACATGCCCAGCTCTTTAAACCACTCCTCATAGGGCTTGTTCTCCAGACCCTTGGTCATTTTAGTCGCCCTCCTCTGGACACATTCCAGCTTGTCAGTGTCTCCCTGTTTAGTAGCCAATATTTAGGGTACAGTTGTTTAATTTGAAACAGTATCATGTGGCCTATTTTCAAAACCACCTCAGTCTCCAAAGCTGATTTCAAAACCTGTCCACTAAGCACAGGGGCCACAAAGAGCTTAAGGAGCCTCTTCATGAAGCACAGACCATGTGTGGTTGACTCCTGTTTGATGTGATAAGAACATAGAGATCAGTTCCAATTATATCTAAATTGACCATCTTTCCGCTAATAAGAAACTTCTTGTCAATCAGCAAAGGGGTGCTATGGAAACTTCCTAGAATTTCATCATTCTATAAATAGCAGTTGCTGGCTTGTGAATCTAAATTCAGTTAACATTCTGTACTTATAAGACATTTTTCCTCAGACAGCTACACCTGTCGGAACAAAATGATGTGGGATATGTATCAGATGATTAGAGAAGAAGGTAAGTTACAGTTATCTAAAAATGTTAGCAATTTAAGACATTTTTCAAGTACTGTATTTCCTTGGTTCTAAGACACATTGCTCCCACTCCCATATAAACATCTATGAAAACAGGGTGTGTCTTAGAATCATGGATCCTAGAAATAGATTTTCTGCTGTTTTGACTTACACAGTTTCTTCTGTATGAAGGTCTATATTTATGACCCCGTTCCTTTATGAGTTTCTCCCCCACAAACAATCTGCTCCATCCCTATCTCATCCTGATTTTAGTAGTTTTAGTAACTTAGTTTTTATCTTGCACATGTGGCCCACTCATTGTTACGTTATATTATTTTATTTTATTGTGTACGATTTTGCTTTATCGTTTTTGTACTCATATGTTGTATGTATTTTACTGTGTTGTTATTGTGTTTTGGTTTTACTTTATTGTAATATGCTGTTGGGCTTGGCCTCATGTAAGCTGCCCCGAGTCCCCATTGGAGAGATGGTGGCGAGGTATTAAATAAAGTTTATTATTATTATTATTATCTCTGATAATTGGAGCCCCGGTGGCACAGTGGGTCAAACCCCTTTGCCGGCAGGACTGAAGACCGACAGGTCGCAGGTTCAAATCCGGGGAGAGGCAGATGAGCTCCCTCTATCAGATCCAGCTCCTCATGCAGGGGCATGAGAGAAGCCTCCCACAAGGATGATAAACATCAAATCATCCAGGCGTCCCCTGGACAACTTCCTTGCAGATGGCCAATTCTCTCACACCAGAAGCGACTTGGAGTTTCTCAGGTCGCTCCTGACATGACAAAAAAAACAAACTGTGATAATGGGATTTTTGTAGGAAAGGGCTTAAACAGTAAAAGTTAAAACCTCTAATTCATATCTTAATCTCCAATCATCTGATATGCAATATTAAAAGAATTATTATTTAATTGTGTACATTTTGTTTGTCTCTGTATAGCTTTCTCTAGTCTTACTTTGCTTATCTGTACAAGAATACTCCTAAATCTCAAATTAGTTTTCTCTATAGATATTTGACTGTTTTGCAGTATTCAAATTACCAATCAGCAGCAAATTATAAACCAGCAAATCATGTTTTTTCTAATTTAAGGCAAATCAGGAATGGGGAAACTATTGGCTGCTCTAATTAAATTCAGTGCATTAATGCAGTTTATCAGTTAAGTTATGTGCCCTTGCTCAATTACTCAAGAGCAGTGTTTCTCAACCTGGGGGTCGGGACCCCTGAAGGGGTCGCAAGGGGGTGTCAGAGGGGTCGCCAAAGACCATCAGAAAACAGTATTTTCTGTTGGTCATGGGGGTTCTGTGTGGAAAGTTTGACCCAGTTCAATCATTGGTAGGATTCAGAATGCTCTTCAATGGTCTACAACTCACATAATGCCAGGTTAACCCCCTGAAACTCCCTCAATACCTCAAGTTTGTCATGTTGGGCAAGTTTGCTCTCTAGATGCATCACCAGTGGAGTCCGTGTGGTCTCTGGCTGAAGGATCAACTACAGCTCCCATTATGATGGGTCGGTCCCTTCAAAGCCCTCTAGTAGGTTAAGCTGGTCATTAGGGTTCTGTGTGCCAGGTTTGGTCCAGATCCGTCATTGGTGGAGGTCGCAGTGTCTCTGGTTGTGGGTGAACTACAACTCCAAAGAATCCCAAGTCAATCTCTCCCACCCACCTCCTTCCATATTTAAATTTGGGTATATTGGGTATGTGTACCAAGTGTTGATTTAATTCCATTGTTGGTGGGGTTCAAAATGCTCTTTGACTGTAAGTGAACTATAAATCCTGGCACCTACAATTCCCAAATGTTAAGTCTACCCCCCCCCCCCCCAAAAAAAAAAAACTCTACCAGTGTTCACATTTGGGCATAGTGAGTACTCATACCAAGTTTGGTCCAGTTCCATCATTGTTTGAGTCTACAGTGCTCTCTGGATGGAGGTGAACTACAACTCCAAAACTCAAGGTCCATGCCCACCAAACCCTTCCAGTGATTTCTGTTGGTAATGGGAGTTCTGTGTGCCAAGTTTGGTTCAATTGCATTGTTGGTGGAATTCAGAATGCTCTTTGATTGTAGGTGAACTATAAATCCCAGCAACCACAACTCCCACGGGATAAAATCAATCCCCTCCACAACCCCACCAGTATTCAAATTCAGCGTGTTTGTGCCAAATTTGGTCCAGTGAATGAATGTACATCCTGCATACCAGATATTTACATTACGATTCATAACAGCAGCAAATTACAGTTATGAAGATAATTTATGGTTGTGGGGTCACCATAAAATGAGGAAGTGTATTAAGGGGTCGTGGCATTAGGAAGGTTGAGAACCACTGGTCAAGAGAATAATTTCTTAAAAATCTGGAGAGATTGCCATGTTAGTTTTGTGGCACCTTAAATATTGGTTAATATATATATTATGCCAAAGCTTTCATAGATTGCTATATTTCAATTTATCCATATTTTAAAATATAATAGGTCTTTAAATTGCCACATAACTCTGGCACTTCATGCTTAGCAATTTTTAAAATGAACATCCTGAAATTAGTAAGATTATTCCCATGAATTTATTATATGTTTATTTATTAACGGTTCCGGCCCAAGATACCTATCTGACCGCATCTCGGCCTACAAGCCCACGAGGACTTTGAGATCGTCTGGGGAGGCCCTGCTCTCGATCCCGCCTGCCTCACAGGCATGCCTGGCGGGGACGAGAGACAGGGCCTTCTCGGTGGTGGCTCCTCGGCTGTGGAACACCCTTCCCGTGAACATCAGACTGGCTCCTTCCCTGATGGTATTCCGCAGGAAACTAAAGACTTGGCTGTTTAAGAAGGCGTTCGAACAAGAAGTGCAATAATTGGTAATGACGACAGGAATGGAACAATGGAAAATGATACTGGATTGTGGCTTAATGATGAGACAACGCGAATGGCTTTTTGTATTAGTGATATTGTTGATGTTTCTGATGACAATGTTTTTTGGTTATTGCTAGATTGATTTTAGATTGTATTTTGTAAATTGTACCCTGTCCTTTCTATGTTGTACACCGCTGTGAGTCGCCCTCGGGCTGAGAACAGCGGTATATAAGCACAGTAAATAAATAAATATGTTTTCAGAACATGATAGAGAATTGATTGGTTCTCCTTCATTTCTCTAAATTCAAAAGATCTACTTTATTTGGCAGGTGACGAAAATGACTTTTTTGACTTGGAAAATTTTAAAAAGAAATTTGAAGAAAGCCTGGAGTCATCCTTCAACAATGTAAGGACAATGTAATTGTATATATATGTGTTGTCTAAGGTTTTCGTGGCCAGAATCACTGGGTTACTTTGCAGTATATTTGTTTCTCTGGTATTACATCTGTAAAAATGAATAACCCCTTGACACACCCTTTTAACTATGATGTGCTTCCTGTGTTAGATATCTGATTATATTGTCAGCATAACAGTGTGGCTTTCTCCTTTATTTTTAAATCAGGTAACTATCACTTTTGAAGAATTTGAAGATAATGCAATATGGATTCGAGTCGCATGGGGAACACAGTACAGACAACCAAACCAGTACAAGCCAAGTTATGTTGTTTACCACTCACAGACTCCTTATGTCTTCATCTGTAAATCTAGAAATAAGAGCTCTGTGCCTTTCCTTTTTCAGGTAAATGTACTTGGCCTTTATGCTTCATGCTCTGTCAGTCTTAAGGTACATTCTTAACAAAAGTGAATGAATGACAATAGCAGTTTTGGTTTGTTTGTTCTGTTGTAATTTATATTTTTTGAGAATTTACATATGTGTAATTGAATTAAATGAAATGATAATTCTAAAAAAGGGAATATAATGAAATAGAATAACAACAGTCTTTCAGTATTAAAATACATTAAAATTACTTCCATTTTCATTTGAAGGCGTTGCTGGTTGCTGCCAATTACAGTGATATCCATGAAATGGACCTCCAAAGCCGTTGCTTTGATTCCCTTAAAGATATTGTACTTAAGCGATGTGGCCAGGTAAGATGCTTTGTGACTGTTCTAAGCCAAATCTTGGGGTTCTTGTTTTAGGCCTGACTCTAAACCTCCAAGCAGGTTGAGAAATGGCTTCTTCAAAGACACCATGTCATAGTACTACAGACAGGACAGTCTTGTAATAAAGTATAACAACACTAGGCAGATTTCCAAACATCTTGTGTTCTGGAAATATTTCTCAGCACTTTTTCTATTTTGTATCAAAAGCATTGCATAAATTAGTATAAAACTGATAAAAATAGAAGGAGCGCAGGTGGCTAAATATCTTTTGACCAAAAACGGCAGGGCATGGTGGACATGCATACAGATGCGGAGTTGTCTGTTCTGCTCCACAGTCACATAAGGTGTGGGATTCTTTTAGGTTGTGCCATTTAGCCAGGTTGTCTTTTGATCTGCCTACTCCACTTCTGAGTCTGTTCAGGGACTTCCAAGTTGCCCATTCTTGGTTTGCCCCTGAAGGAAGACCCTCATATTGGGCCATGCAGTTGGGATTTCCTGATTTAGCTGCCCAGAGGGATGTTCTTGCTGTTGCTGGGGGGACGCCAAGAGGAGTGGTAGTTCTCATAAAAGCTTTTCCTTGATTTGAGTCTACTGGGAGGAGGCTGGTAGCTATGTAGTGGATGATAGCTTTCACAGTGTTCCATCTTATTTCTCTCACATTTAGCAGCAACTTCCTGTTGCACATCAGGCGGGGCAATGCCAGCCAGCTTGTAGAGTTTATCAACAGGTGTAGGTTTAAGACATCCTGTGATTATTCTGCATGTTTCATTCAATGCTATGTTCACCTGCTTTGTGTGGGCAGACCTATGCCAAACAGGGCAGGTATAGTCGGCAGTTGAGTAATACAAGGCCAGGGCAGCTAGATCAATTAATTCAAAGACAAATATCATATTTCATTGCAGAATAGTCACACTTGTTGGAAAAAAGACTAGTATGCAACGAAGTACAATTTGTGCCTTCTATTTCCTGCATTCTGGGTTTGTTTGCTACACCTTCGTTACCTCCATATTGGACTACTGTAATGCGCTCTATGTGGGGCTGCCTTTGAAGACGGCCCAGAAACTGCAGTTAGTACAAAGGTCGGTGTCCAGGTTGTTAATTGGTGCAAATTACAGGGAGTGGTCAACCCCCCTGTTTGAACAGCTCCACTGACTTCCGATAAGTTTCTTAAGGTACATTCTGAACAAAAGTGAATGAATGACAATAGCAGTTTTGGTTTGTTTGTTCTGTTGTGATTTATAATTTTTGAGAATTTACATATATAAATTTATATTTTTTAAGAATTTACTTATGTGTAATTGAATTAAATGATAATTCTAAAAAAGGGAATATAATGAAATAGAATAACAACAGTCCTTTAACATTAAAATAAATTAAAATTACTTTCATTTTCATTTGAAGGCACTGCTGGTTGCTGCCAATTACAGTGATATCCATGAAATTGACCTCCGAAAAGTTTCAGGTCCTAATTCAAGGTGCAGGTTATCACTTACAAAGCCCTTAACAGTTCGGACCTGCCTATCTTCGCAATCGCACCTTCCCCTATGAACCTGCACAATTTCTAAGAACTTCTGGGGAGGCTCTCCTCTCGCTCCCACCTCCATCACAAGTGTGTCTGGTGGAGACGAGGGAGAAGGCTTTGTTGGTGGTGGCCCCCTGGCTCTGGAACTCTCTCCCCAGGGAGATTATACTGGCGCCCACCCTGTCCACTTTTTGTAAAGACCTAAAAACGTGGATGTTCCCCTGCGTTTTTGATTAAACAGGTCACTAGATAATTTTGCCCTCCCCCAGCCGTAACTGAGTATCTGGCTCTTGCACTTTACCATTGTTCCCTGATCTATAGATATATTGTTCTAACTAGCCATCCTCTGCCACGCGTTGCTGTGGCCCAGTCTGGTGATCTGGAAAATAAAGCAATGAGAAAGTCTTGGTTTCGAATATATGTAATTTCTTTATGCTTGTGGTTAAACAATATTTTTTGTTGATTCTTTGTCTGTGTTGATGTGGAGATTTTCTGGTTTGCCTACTCTGGAACAATTGTCATTCTTTAGGGGTCCCTTTCAAATCTATGACACTATATCTGTGTGTGTGTGAATCATATCTTATCTATCTCTATGGCTGGATGATTACGTTTTCTTGCCCTGGTGAAGGAAGTTGGACTGGATGGCCTTAAGTATTTTCTGTTGATCATGGGGGTTCTGTGTGGGAAATTTGCCCCTATTCTGTCATTCGTGGGTTTCAGAATGCTCATTGATTGTAGGTGAACTATAAATCCCAGTAACTACAACTCCCAAATGCCAAGGTCTGTTTCGCCCAAACTCCATCTATGTTCATATTTGGCCATATGGAATATTCATGCCACGTTTGGTCCAGATTCATCATTTTTTGAGTGCACAGTGCTCCCTGGATGTAGGTGAACTACAACTCCCAAAGTCAAAGTCAATGCCCACCAAACCCTTCTAGTGTTTTCTGTTTGTCATGGGAATCCTGTGTGCCACGTTTGGTTCAATTCCATCATTGGTGGAGTTCAGAATGCTTTTTGATTGTAAGTAGACTATAAATCCCAGCAACTACAACTCCCAAATGACAAAATCATTTTTTTTTAGTGATGGTCACTCCTTGGGTGAGTAGGTATCTTGTGGCCAAATTTGGCGGCAATTCGTCAAGTGGTTTTTGAGTTATGTTAATCCCACAAACGAACATTACATTTTTATTTATATAGATTGACATTGCCCTTCTAGCCCTTACTTACCATCTGGTTCCTTCTCTTATTTTACCCCATCAGCCCAGACCTCAGCCTCTGCATGCCAGAGTTTAGTAATTTGACTACTATGTCTGGCTATTGGTTGTTTTATGTTTTATGTTGTTTTATGATGTTGCTTTTATAAATTGTACTGTGCTTATTTTAATCTCTGCCTGACCGGGCTTGTCCCCGTGTAAGCCGCCCTGAGTCACTTTGGGGAGATGGTGGCAAGATAAAAAAATAAAGTCATTATTATACTATTATTTGCTTTTTAAAAAAAAAACTGTCTTATCCTTGAGATGAAGAGAAAAGAGAGAGCGCTCAGTATTCACTTAAACTGTCTTTGTCGGAGAAAGGGAGTTCCTCAGTTTTATAAATACCTGTGACGATTATGTGAGGAAAGGAGAGAAACCAATTTTGGGACCCCAAAAATGGAGGTGAAATTGTTCTGCAGTGGCAACTATTTCGTAATGAGATATGGTAGTAAATTTGACTTGCTGGTGGAATTGGGGCATGCCTAGACATTAGGGACTAGGCCAATGCCCACAATTTCTTGCATAAGTCAGAACTCAGGCATCCTAGCTAAATTCCTTTGGCTGCCGTTCATTTTCCGGTCCCAATTCAAGGTGCAGGTTCTTACGTACAAAGCCCTGAACGGTTTGGGACCCACCTACCTGTGTGACCACATTTCTGTGTACGAACCCACACGATCTCTTCGATCATCTGGAGAGGCCCTGCTCGCGCTCCCACCACCTTCGCAGGTGCGATTGGTGGGGACGAGGGAAAGGGCCTTCTTGGTGGTGCCCCCCCCCCCGACTCTGGAACTCACTTCCCAAGGACATCAGACATGCCCCAACTCTGGCAGTCTTTAGGAGGAGCCTGACAACGTGATTGTTCCAGTGTGCCTTCCCAGAATAAGGAAAACCCTCAGCAATATGCCCTCAAAATGCACTTTACTACGGATTTAGGACTGACTCTTTGAAAAACTATCCTAGTTATATCCTACCTTGTTCATGCCCAGCATTATTTTTTAAATTTTAAATTATTACATTTGGCCAGGCCATAGATCTTTAAATGCTTGTGTATTACTGTTATTGTTTATTTTTTTGTTTATGTGATTTTTACTAATTGTTTTGTATTGATTGTTTTTGTTATTGCCTTTGTTTGCGATGTACTGTGGGCTTGGCCTCATGTAAGCCGCACTGAGTCCCTTGGGGAGATGGTAGCGGGGTATAAATAAAGTTTTATTATTATATAGAGCTCCATATTCTTCCATGACTTTGCACCTGCCTCATACCAGTGGGGAGGGAAAGGCATTACAATGTGTTTCAGATCTGAAGAAGGGGCTGTTTGCAACTTGGTTGGACTGGGGAAAAATAAGTATGTGCTCTCAAATGGAATGCATCCATGTTTTCTCTCCCCAGAAACTCAGTACAGTCAGATCTTTATAGCATGGGTCCTTCCTGAGACCTGATGGTTGCTAGGTAGTAGGAGATTTTTGGTTGGAGTGACTAGGCAAATAAATATGGCAGGAATAGGCAACTGTTCTGTGTCCTCAGATGGACTGCTCTGATGCATAACCATACCGGAGGTGACAAGAAGTTGCTTCTGGTATCTGTGCTTCTGGTTTCAGCCATTGGGAAGCAAGAATGAGGCCATAAAAAGGGGTTGATGCTGCAAAATGGTTTTCCTCCCCCCCCCCCCCTCCAAAATTAGTCTGCTGTTATTGTTGTTGCTAGCTATTTTTGTTACGTTGTTTTATGCTGTTTTAATTGTTATTGCTTTATTTTAATTGTATTCTGCCTGGGCTTGGGCCCCATGTAAGCCGCTCCGAGTCCCTTCAGGGAGATGGAGGCGGGGTAGAAAAATAAACAACTTCTTCTTCTTCACTTTTCTCACCTCTGAATGGAAGTTATAGAGTGAGTTGTACATAATTGAAACATATTCCTTCAGCCCCGGTTGCAACTAGCTTCCTGTTGCTCTCAAAGAAACCAGAATGCATTTCACAACTGTTTGTAAAACATTCTGAGTTGTGAATCTGAAAAGCTTGCTTTTACTGGTCATATGGATGAAAGTATACAAAATGAATGTTCTTTTCTCCTTGCTTCCTCAGAGCCTTCAAATCCATCAACCACAACCTCTCCAAGAAAAAGACAGCAATCTGGAAAATGGTATCTGTACTGACTTATGATGTTGGTTTCCCCTTGACATTAAGTCTAGTCATATCTGACTCTGGGGGTGGTGTTCATCTCCATTTCTAAGCCAAAAAGCCGGCGTTGTCCGTAGACACCTCCAAGGTCATGTGGCCAGCATGACTGCATGGAGTACTATTAACTTCCTGCCAAAGCAGTACCTATTGATCTACTTACATTTGTATGTTTTCAAACTTTTATTTATTTATTTACGGCATTTATATGCCGCCCTTCTCACCCCGAAGGGGACTCAGAGCGGCTTACAAGATAGATTTTCATACAATATATTATATTATTAGCATAGTACAATATCAATATTATATATTGTCTGGTTGCCCCAGACACGATAAATAAAAAAAATAAATTACTATATTGCACTATACCATTAAATTGTAATATTATTAGTAATATTACATGTAATGTAAATATATAATTATAATATTGTACTATTACTAGTATTATATTGTATTACATTATAATATTATAAATATTATATGTATATACAATGTACGATATTATATTATTAGTAAAGACAAGATGGAAATGTCTTCTGCTCCCCTCTTGTCTTCACTCTGGCCAGAGCAGCGGTTAGTGCCCGGGGGGGGGGGGGGGGGGGTCCCAACTGATGATATAGGCAAGAGACATGGAAATGTCTTTTGCCCCCCTCTTGCATCTGTTTGCCCATCACATGCAGGAAAGTGCCCTTTCTCGCTCCCCCCTTCGCAGGTTCGTGACTGGTGGGGACGAGGGAGAGGGCCTTTTCTGTGTGCCCCCCCCCCGACTCTGGAACTTGCTCCCTAAGGATATTAGGCAAGCCCCCACATTGACAGTCTTTAGGAGGAGCTTGAAAACTTGGTTGTTTCAATGTACCTTCCCTGATTGAAAGACCAATAATTCCCTGATCTGACCAATTCTCTGCAAAATGTCCTCTGAAGCACTTTACTCTATGTTTTGGGGAAATCAACCCTACCTCATCCTCTAAAAACTCTATTTAGACTCATTTTATTGCTATCACACCCAGTGTTTTACATTTTTTAAATTTATGACAATATGCCCTGCCCACAGTGTTGGATCCTTGTGTTTTTAATATGTTGTGTTTTTATTGCTGATATGTTATTTATAATGGTTTCGTGTTGTATTTTTATTTCTTGGTTTATATTATTTTTGTGTTGGTTTATAGTGATGTATTGTTGGGCTTGGCCTCATGTAAGCCACCCCGAATCCCCTTGGGGAGATGGTGGTGGGGTATAAATAAAGCTTATTATTGTTATTATTAGTATTGGAAGAAGCTGGAGCTAATAACAAGAGCTCACCTCATTCTGCAAATTCAAACCGCTGACCTTCTGGTCAGCAAATTCTGCAACTTAGCGGTTTAACCCACTGTGCCACTTATGATACATAGCTTTAAATCAAAACCATTTCTTCAAATATTAAAGTTGTTGGCCATCACGCGTAATGGGTGGACCACAGTCAGGCTGCATCTGCAGTAAGACATCCAGCAAATGCAGCCTTTCAACCATGCATGTTACTTTGACAAGTGAGGTTTACTTAGAACAGTGTTTCTCAACCTGGGGGTTGGGACCCCTGGGGGGGGGTCCCGAGGGATCACCAAAGACCATCAGAAAACTAAGTATTTTTGGTTGGTCATGGTGGTTCTGTGTGGGAAGTTTGGCCCAATTTTATCATTGGTGGGGTTCAGAATGCTCTTTGATTGGAGGTGAACTATAAATCACAGGAAATACACCTCCCAAATGTCAAGTCTCTTTCCCCCAAGCTCTACTAGTGTTCACATTATTGAGCATTCATGCCAATTTTGAACCAGAACCATATTGTTTGAGTCCACAGTGTTCTTTAGATGTAGGTGAACTACAACTCCAAAACTCAAGGTCAATTACTGCGAAGAAGCAAGGGAGCTGAGGGATAATTTATTGTTGCCACTAATTTGATAGGAACCAGTATTCAGGAGATTTTACCCCAGTTCCCAATTTTAAAAAGAACTGGCCGATTTGCAAAGGAGGTTGCCGATTAGGAACCAAATTTACCATCAAGTTGGAAGGGAGGCTGTTCAATTGCACCTCCTCCTTTATTAAGAAAGTAATAACTTAGTAGTAATTACACTGTATATACTGTAGCGTGACTGGAGAGAAGAATGTAGTTTCATTTGGTTACTTTTCCCTGCGTTTCTGCCACCGTGTGAGGTAAGTTGTAATATTGTGAGAAATGGCACACTGGACGCAGAATTGATGGAGATGAGGCAAAAAGTTAACAAATTTATTTTGAACAAAGCATATGGTTGCAGGCTGTTGGTTTACTTGGAATAACTTAGAGAACTTGTAGAACTTTAAATGTAACATGGTTTGCAATACAGTTCACACTTCTGGATGATACAACTTGTAATTGACTTTGACTGTGGTGAAGCACTTTCTTAAACAATGTTTCCTGAGGTGAATAGCCTTCCTGTTTGATCCTTTCTTGATCAAACCCTAGATCTCTAGTTCTTTCCCAACTAATGATCTAAACAAGCTTCACTTAGTCTTCTCTGACTAATGAAACTAATCAGGTTCCCCCCTTCAACCTTCCTAGATTGAAGAAACCTCAGACTATTCACAAACACTGCTTCTCTACTTCCCCTCTTCTCTCTTGACTGCTCACTCTGAACTCCAAACCCTAACTCTAACTCCTCACTCCTTGGAACCTAAACCCTAACTAACTGCTTCTTTTTAAAACGCAGATGGATTTCTCTTGCTAGGCTCCGCCCACTTTCCACTCTCCTCTGCCTGGTCTCCTTGGCAACGCCACAATGGATACAACCAGTTATTTCTAGCTTTCAGCTACTGTTACCAAACAAATAGTTAAACAGTTCAAATACATATACCTAGTTTCAATAACTTCCTTACAATTACTAACAAACCCTTCTAGTATTTTGTGTTGGTCTTGGGAGCTCTGTATGCTAAGTTTGGTTCAACTCTATCATTTGCGGAGTTCAGAATGCTCTTTGATTTTAGGTGAACTATAAATCCCAGCAACTACAACTCCCAAATGACAAAATAACCCACCCACCCACCTACCCCCAATATTCAAATTTGGGCGTATCGGGTATTTGTGTCAAATTTGGTCTTGGGAATTAAAATACATTCTGCATATCAGATATTAACATTACGATTCATAACAATAGCAAAATTACAGTTATGACATAGCAAAAAAAATAATTTTATGGTTGGGGGTCACCACAACATGAGGAACTGTTTTATGGGGTCACGGCATTAGGAAGGTTGAGAACCACTGACTTAGAAGCTTAACGGATTCTTTGTTTTTCAGTGGATCCAAGGATAATTCAGGAAGATCAACATGAAAAGGAAAGAATTCAAAGGATTGATCGAGAAACTTTTGGTGATGGTCCTCAGCCAAAACTAGAATTTGCACACTACCGGGTAAAAAATTGTTTATGTATATTTGTACGTATATTTGCTTCAGATATTTTTGTTGAGTTCTTTATGGCCTTCTTTCCATGCGCCTTGCGTCTTGATTCCTGCAAGATCCCACTGGTTTGAGCAACCTGCTCACCAAGTCAGAGGTTTTAAATTTGGTAGCAGTTGAGGTGCAACTAAGGCCTTCTTTGCTCTCTTCACTGCATGATTGTGTCCTCTAATGTGTCCCCCAGCACCAACTGTCGCTCTGGGCCAGAGTGAAGAGAGAGCGGGCCAGGGGACAATTCCACCTTGTCTCCTGTGCTATTCTAATAATATAATATAATCTATATTACTTGTAATCTATATAAATAAAAATGTAATGTTTGTTTGTGATACCATCAGAACTCAAAAACCACTGGGGAAATTGACACCAAATTTGGACACTAGACACTATCTCAAGCAAGCTATATCCTCCACTCACAAAAACCCAAAAAAACACTTCCCCTCCCTCCCCCCTCAGAAAGTAAGCCTCAGGGAGGGAGGGGGAGGGAAGGAGTGCACATGCACAGCAGGCTGCCCGTTCACTGCCTCTTCACTGCCGCTGCCTAGGCTGCTCCGCCTCTCCAAAATTCATCTATCCAGACCTGACTAATCTACGGCAGATGGGATGGATTCAGGAGAAAGGAAGCTCTGCGGAAGCAAAAGCAATCAAGCTCAGAGCAGATCCATTGATAACCCAGGCTCAGAATACAGAAACCCCAATCCTATTCATGTCAGGCAGGAGTGACCACATTCAAACCCTCCCAACAGATGGCCATCCAATTCCAACCCCATTCTGCCAGGCAGGAAGACACCATTCATTCTACAAATATAGCATCCCAAGCATATAGGATCAAATAGCATAAAAATAATAATAATCCAAAATAATAAATATATCAACTATAATAGGCTTTAAGTCAGTGATATGACACATAAAAATCTATCCCAAAGAACTACAAAAAACTGAACTGGCCCAACGAATCCATACAGCTATGTAATAATTGGCAATATATATCTATAAATTTATATAACCCTTTCAAAATATTTTTGATAACATGTTAATTATAAAACACTTAATTTTAAAATATTTAATTATTTTCATTTAAAAATATTGAACTTTTGAATACTTCATTTAGATATTTTAAGTTTAAAATATTTGTTTAATTTAAACATTTTAATATTTTCATTATAAAATATATAATTCTTTAGTTCCAAAATATTTCATTTACATATTTTGATTTTAAAAATTAATATTTACATTACATTATTTTATTTTAATATTTCAAATTTAAAATATAAAATTGTTTTATTTTAATATTATTCCTTTAATTTTAATATTAAAATTTATACATATTTAATATTTACATTTCATAATACTTTATTTTAATGTATTTTATTTGGTTTAATTATGAAATATTTAATTACTTAATAATTTGTTTTTAAAATAATTATTTAATTTTAAATTATTTAATTTTAATGTTTTAATTTTAAAATATTTAATTGTTTACCTTTACAAAATTTAAATCTAAAAAAACATAATTAACTTTAAAATATTTTACTGTTAGTATTTTAATTTAAAAAGTATTTAGTTGTTTACTTTTCAAATATTTTCCATATCACCAAGCTAGGCCACAGCAAAGAGTGGCCAGGAGGGAGGCCAAGGAGGGAGGCCAGGGAGGGAGGGGGATCGCCGGGGAAGGGGTCCTTTGATGCCACGCACGGAAGAACAGGCGCGGGAAACCCTTTGAGGTATAGGAAGGGGCCTTAAAGGCCTTCCAGTCCAACCTCATTTTACAGTAAAGGAAGACACCATCAAAGCCCTCCTGACAGATGGTCAACCAATTTATTTATTATTTATTTATTTCAGTTTCTTCTACCCCGCCCTTCTCACCCCGAAGGGGACTCAGGGCGGCTTACAAAAGCAAAGGCACAATTCGATGCCCGCATCACATAACAGTCAAAAACAAAAAGTAACATCAAATTCACAGTTAAACAACAATTCCTGCATTACAACCAATAAAAACCAATAAAATCAATACAAACCCAATTCCTCCTCCTAAACGGTCAGCTTTCGCAATCTCATAGTTCTAATTTCCAATTCCACTTCGTCAGTCCTGTCAGTCATACTCGTCTGATTGTCTTATCTAGTTGTCAGATTGCCCAAAGGCCTGGTCCCACAACCACGTCTTTACCTTCCTCCTGAAGGAGAGGAGGGATGATGATGCCCTAATTTCCCCCGGGAGCGAGTTCCACAGGTGAGGGGCCACCACTAAGAAAGCCCTACTCCTCGTCCCCACCAGCCTCACTTGTGACAGCGGTGGGGTTGAGAGCAGGGCCTCCCCAGATGATCTCAAACTCCGGGGTGGGACGTAGAGGGAGATACGTTGGAAGGGAGTCCCAGAGGCCATCCAGTCCAACCCCCTTTGTCTGTCAGTATGTCCATCCATCCTTCAATCCATCAACCACTCCATCTACATATCTATCTACCTACTACCTACCAACTTATCTATGTTCTCTCCATCTACCTTCTGTTCGATCTATCAGTGTCCCTTCCATCTGTCCCTTCTGTCTATTGCTTCAACTGGAATTCCTCTCTTGTCTGAGGGCCACAGCAGCGCGTGGCAGGGTACAGCTAGTATTACTAATAATATTACGATATAGTGGTATGGTGCAATATAGCAATGTTTAATGCTGATATTGTACTATGCTAATAATATAATATATTGTATGTAATATATACCTTGTAAGTCTCTGAGTCAGGGTGAGAAGGGTGGCATATAAATGTCGTAAATAAATAAATACAGTTGTTCTCCAAATCTTTTGCCATTTCCAGTCTGGTTGTCATCAGTCCACAATTCCTCAGAATACCAAGAACCAATGCAGGCTTCTCAGGATGTGTGTGATTTCTAATGATACATTCCTTTAATATGTTGTTGTTGTTGTTCATTCGTTCAGTTGTCTCCGACTCTTCGTGACCTCATGGACCAGCCCACGCCAGAGCTCCCTGTCGGCCGTCACCACCCCCAGCTCCTTCAAGGTCAGTCCAGTCACTTCAAGGATGCCATCCATCCATCTTGCCCTTGGTTGGCCCCTCTTCCTTTTACCTTACACTTTCCCCAGCATAATTGTCTTCTCTAGGCTTTGCTGTCTCCTCATGATGTGGCCAAAGTACTTCAACTTTGTCTCTAGTATCCTTCCCTCCAATGAGCAGTCGGGCTTTATTTCCTGGAGGATGGACTGGTTGGATCTTCTTGCAGTCCAAGGCACTCTCAGAACTTTCCTCCAACACCACAGCTCAAAAGCATATCTCTTCCTTCGCTCAGCCTTCCCTAAGGTCCAGCTTTCACATCCGTAGGTTACTTGTGACTAGGCGGATCTTTGTTGCCAGTCTGATGTCTCTACTCTTTACTATTTTTTCGAGACTGGACATTGCTCTCCTCCCAAGAAGTAAGCGTCTTCTGATTTCCTGGCCACAGTCTGCATCTGCAGTAATCTTTGCACCTAGAAATACAAAGTCTGTCACGGCCTCCACATTTTCTCCCTCTATTTCCCAGTTGTCAATCATTCTTGTTGCCATAATCTTGGTTTTTTTGATGTTTAGCTGCAACCCAGCTTTTGCGCTTTCTTCTTTCACCTTGATTAGAAGGCTCCTCAGCTCCTCCTCGCTTTCGGCCATCAGAGTGGTGTCATCTGCATATCTAAGGTTGTTAATGTTTCTTCCAGCAATTTTCACCCCAGCTTTGCATTCATCAAGCCCCGCACATCGCATGATGTGTTCTGCATACAAGTTAAAAAGGTTGGGTGAGAGTATGCAGCCTTGCCGTACGCCTTTCCCAATCTTGAACCAGTCTGTTGTTCCGTGGTCAGTTCTGACTGTTGCTACTTGGTCCTTGTACAGATTCCTCAGGAGAGAGACAAGGTGGCTTGGTGTGCCCATCTCATTGAACCCAGCTTTTGTCTCATGATTGGAATTTAGTAACAACAAAAAATCGGCTCCTCTCCCAGAGAGGAGAGATTTGGTATACCCATCCCACCAAGAACTTGCCAAAATTTATTATGATCCACACAGTCAAAGGCTTTAGAATAGTCAATAGAACAGAAATAGATGTTTTTCTGAAACTCCCTGCCTTTCTCCATTATCCAGCGGATATTGGCAATCTGGTCTCTCGTTCCTCTGCCTTTTCTAAACCCAGCTTGAACATCTGGCAACTCTCGCTCCATGTATTGCTGGAGTCTTCCTTGCGATCTTGAGCATTACCTTACTGGCATGAGAAATAAGGGCCACTGTACGAAAGTTTGAGCAGTCTTTCGCATTTCCCTTTTTTGGTATGGGGATGTAAGTTGATTTTTTCCAGTCTGATGGCCATTCTTGTGTTTTCCATATTTGCTGGCATATGGCATGCATCACCTTGACAGTTCAGCTGGGATCCCGTCGTCTCCTGCTGCCTTGTTGTTAGCAATGCTTCTTAAGGCCCATTCAACCTCACTCCTCAGGATGTCTGGTTCTAATTCATTCACCACACCGTCAAAGCTATCCTCAATATTATTATCCTTCCTATACAGATCTTCTGTATAGTCTCGCCACCTTCTCTTGATCTCTTCAGCTTCTGTTAGGTCCCTGCCATCTTTGTTTCTTATCATACCAATTTTTGCCTGAAATTTACCTCCAATGTTTCTAATTTTCTGGAAGAGGTCTCGTGTCCTTCCTATTCTGTTGTCTTCTTCCTTTAATATGTAGTATTCTTGAAATGCCATCCCAAACTAGAGCACAGTGCTGCTTCTTTTGCTTTAGTGCGGCAGATACTAGTTGGATGCAATATGGATTCCTCATTGTGCGTGCAGAGATTCTCCTCTGCATTTAAAATGGTGAAATACTATGCAAGTGATGAATGGAAACTATTTGTCCTGTCTCAGTAGATAAAACAAGCTAAAATAACTTTCCTCTTTTTTTCTGCAACCATCAGTGTAGCCAGCAATGATTTTAAATCTGTAAATTAAAAAATGAACTGCAAGACAAACAACAATCAGAATCACAACTAGAGCTATGTTATGGAGGGTTATTTTCTTTGTGAACGAAACAATGTGCTAATCTTAAGTGTTTGGCCACCACAAGGCGGCACCCTTTGCCTTCCTTGCCTTTCCACTTATTGTACCCATTGCCTTTAATGTTAGTCAAGAAGAGTGGTTCCCAAACAGTGGGCTGCGGACCACTGGTTAACCGCGAGACCTTAAATAAGGTCTGTGGCCCCATAATAATAATAATAATAATTATTATTATTATTATTATTATTTGATATATAACAAGATTAGTACAACAAGATTACTATCCCAACTTTTGTATTTGATCACACGTTGGACACTTCCCAAGTGTCTAGGATTGTATGATGTATTGGCAAATAATGTGTGTAAATCCGAGTAGGGTGGCCTTTTGCAGCTGACAGATGGTCATCGATACAATACAAGCAATATAACACAAAACACAATAAAATGAGCAAAATACATAAAATGCAAAATCAAAATAATATACAACACAACAATATAAAATCAAACATTAAAAACACGGAATTTCACTAGGCATGTCCACATGCATGGATAAAATTATTTAAAAAATTAAAAAGCACTGGGAGATAGGACAGTGTAACTTATGAGGAGGCTCCAAGAATGAGGAAGGATTTCATTGCACAACCCATAAAATAAAGTGTGTCTAAGGACATTTTGTGCAAAGTGTGGTCCGGGAGTATCTTACATTCAGTCACTGAAGGCACATTGGAATAACCAGGTTTTCAAATTCCTCCTAAAGATTGCCAGTATGGGGGCTTGTCTAATGTCTCTGGGGAGTGAGTTCCAGAGCCAGGGGGCCATCACAGAGAAGGCCCTCTCTCTCGTCCCCGCAAGTCGCACCTGTGATGCGGGCGGGAGCGAAAGAAGGCCCTCTCCAGAGGACTGAAAGGATCGCGTGGGTTCGTAGATTAAAATATGGTTGTGCAGGTAGGAGGATCCCAAACCGTTCAGGGCTTTGTAAGTCAAGGCCTGCACCTTGAATTGGGCCCGTAGATAAACGGCAGCCAGTGGAGCTCCTTAAACAGGAGGGTTGATTGCTCTCTGTAATTTGCTCCAGTTAATAGTCTGGCTGCCGCCTGTTGGACCAGTTGGAGTTTCTGGGCCGTCTTCAAAGGCAGCTCCACGTAGAGAGCATTGCAATAGTCCAATCTAGAGCTAACTAAGGTGTGGACCACTGTGGTCAAATCCGACTTCACGAGGTACGGTCGCAGCTGGCGCACCGTAGTGTGGGAAGTGTGGGCCTGCTTATGGCTGATGAGATAGGATTGATGTTGTTGTGTGCTTTAAAGTCATTTCATACTTAGATTGACCCTGAGCGAGGGCCGGGTAAATGACCTTGGAGGGCTGTATCTGACCCTCGGGCCTTAGTTTGAGGACCTCTGGTTTATTGGATCTTGCACTTTGTTTTTTGTATTTTTTTCAAACTCTAAAGTTGACCACAAACTGATTCGTTACCCTTTTGGTACTAATGTTGGAGAGTGATCTCTGATCAAAAAATGGTTGGGAACCACTGGTCAAGAAGATTGAAGGGTACGAATACAGTCCTTTTATCTTTTAATCAAAATAATATCATGGTGACTTCTTCTTTTCAAAACTATGTTCCTTACAATTTGTGTTAAAAAGCAGGCTTCAGATAAAAATATAGCTTCCAATTTCCCTTTCACTCTCCATACAGCATTTCAGCATGTAAAATATAGTCAAAACATTAGACCAAGAAAATAAACAGGTATGGGATAAATGTGATTTTCATCTTTGCTACATACCAATACAGGGTTATGTCCTTCGCAAAACAGTCCTGTAAATAATATGACAAAATATTACTTTTTAAAAATATATTTTATTAGGTTTTCAAAAATACAACATTTAAGACCTCTTTTTCACAACTCCTCCACCCCTTAAAAATACAAATAAAAATGTAAAAGATGTAAAAAACACAACTGACTACCCCTCTAGATATTTCAGAAAGGAATTCTAAGTCAGCATAAATTGAAAAAAAAACGCAGTTACAATGTGTTGTTCAAAAAAGAAAAGTGTTATGAATTCCAACTGTCAACAGTTTACTTTAAATGAGAATGGCTTTTTTAAACTTCTTGATTGTTTTCATTTACAGCTTAAGACAACATTCAGAGGTGATCTAATAAATGACACCTTACATGATATCAAACCATTTAGATGTACGGTCAAGTTTTCCAGTCCTCATCTTTTAGAAGCCTTACGGTCCCTTGCGCCGGCTGGTAAGTATTCCAGAAGTGGCAAAATCTAAGCACAATGACTTGTGTCATTCCTGTATAGAAAGAGTAGGGAATTCTGGGGGAGAGAGGATCTGAGTACCCATTTTTTGGTTTTGGCAGAATATTGTGGGCATCATAATCAAAAAACCGTATTTTGGTTGTTTGAAACCAAAAGAGCTGCATTTGAGGGTGGATAATTGCAATATTTACCGCAATAACAAAAGGAACCATTTCATAATGGTTCCTAACCCAGCCTTCTGTTTTGCTGCATTTGCCCTTGAGTCTGCATAGGAATAATTGCATTTAGGAATTACGAGCCTGAACCCATCTTTTTTTGAGCCATGACATTGGTTTATGATGTTGTCTAATTTGATGTTTTATTGTTTTTAGTTGTTTACTGTATTTCTGTGTTCGTTTTTAATCTGTATTTGCTGGGCATGTCCCTCTGTAAACTGCCCCGAGTCCCTTCGGGGAGATGGAGGCAAGGTATAAAAATTAAGTTGTTGTTGTTGTTGTTGTTGTTGTTATTTGAAACACAACAAGATGAGTCCACAGCAGACACTCTGCTGACTATTGTATTAGATCACACATCAGACACTTCCCATGTGTCTAGGACTGTGTGATG